GTCACCTCACACTGACCACGCCACATCAATTTGGGTAACCTATTGGTCAAAAGTGATAAACCATTCATATGAAGCCATTAACCATTAATAATTAAATAAAAAAAATGCTAATAACTTTTGGATAAATTAGCCTATTTTAATGAATCTGGTCTCAAAATATTCCTTGGGTCTTGCTAAGAGCATGGATAAAAACTTTGCAAAAATCGGCCGAACTCCCTGTCTGCCATTTTGATTTTCTGTAAAAAAAAAACTACTTTTTCGAACCCCTCCTAGACCATATGTCTGATTTTCACCAAATTCAAGTCAGATCATCTTCAGAATGTGCTGCCAAAAAGTTATGGATTTCGTGTTGAGACAAAACAGTTTTTGTATAGCGCTGCTGCAAATTTGAGGCATGATGCCAAAATGACTCTGAGGTTGTATCTCTGCAAACCTTTGACATATTGACACCAAACATTGTGTGTGCCATTGTCACCTCACACAGAACACACCACATCAATTTAATAACAGCGCCACCTATTGGTCAAAAGTGATAACCCGTTAAATCATATTACTAGTGGTTGTATTTATGATTTTTGTGCCATTTTGACTAACATCATCTTAAAATGGCTTCAATTACTCATTGCTGCTGTTGGTCTGATGCTTTCTACCTTGTTTCTGTAGTGCTAGGCCCCGATAATTGCTGCTTGCAGCTATATTTATTATTATTATTAGAATCATTATTACTTTTCTTTAAATGTGATTTATGAGTGCTGTCTCTGATATCACTATTAATCTAGATTCTATGTCATCAAACATTCATCCGTTTGCTAAAAACTTAGGTGTGATTTTTGACACGGATCTGAAATTTGAAAAACAGATAAGTGCTGTGGTGAAGAGCAGCTTTTTTCAAATAAGGCAAATAGCCTAATTAAAATCTATGCTCTCGTTTAAGGATTAGGAGATAGTTACTCACGCCTTCATCACTTCCAGACTTGATTATTGCAATGCACTTTATATGGGTCTCAATCATTCATCACTGAATCGCTTGCAGTTAGTCCAGAATGCAGCTGCGAGGTTGCTGACTGGTACTAAGAGGAGAGAAAGCATTTCTCCTGTCCTAGCATCTCTTCATTGGTTACCGGTGCAGCATAGGATCCATTTTAAGATTTTATTATTTGTGTATAAAGCATTAAATGATCTAGCCCCATCATACTTGTCCGAACTTCTCAGCTATCAGCAATCCTCTCACTCTCTCAGATCCTCTGATAAACTTTTCTTGCATATACCTCGCTCTCGCTTGAAATTTAAGGGGGATCGGACTTTTTCTGTAGCCGGTCCTCGACGATGGAACAGCATACCTCTGGACATTAGATCTGCGCCTTCCCTTCCTGTTTTTAAATCCCGCCTGAAGACTTATCTGTATTCCTTGGCTTTTGGATGAAATGTATGTTTGTGTATGTTAATGTGTTTTGTATAGATTGTGTTTTTGAGTCATTTCTTTTTATTCTCTTAATCTCTATATTTACTTTATTTGTATATGTACAGCACTTTGGCATACACTAGCTGTTTTTAAATGTGCTATATAAATAAACTGACCTTGACCTTGTCAAGTCAAACTTCTTGTTCGTCATTTTAATTTATGTTGAAATCCTACTTTTTCAAACTTCTCCTAGACCGTTGGTCTGATTTTCACCAAATTTGACTTTCAAATTGGTTTTCGCTTAACACATCAAATTTGCTGGAAGGATGCCAAACTGTATCTCTGCAAAGCTTTGACATATTGACACCAAACTTTGTATGTGCCATTGTCACCTCACACTGACCACGCCACATCAATTTGGGTAACCTATTGGTCAAAAGTGATAAACCATTCATATGAAGCCATTAACCATTAATAATTAAATAAAAAAAATGCTAATAACTTTTGGATAAATTAGCCTATTTTAATGAATCTGGTCTCAAAATATTCCTTGGGTCTTGCTAAGAACATGGATAAAAACTTTGCAAAAATCGGCCGAACTCCCTGTCTGCCATTTTGATTTTCTGTAAAAAAAAAACTACTTTTTCGAACCCCTCCTAGACCATATGTCTGATTTTCACCAAATTCAAGTCAGATCATCTTCAGAATGTGCTGCCAAAAAGTTATGGATTTCGTGTTGAGACAAAACAGTTTTTGTATAGCGCTGCTGCAAATTTGAGGCATGATGCCAAAATGACTCTGAGGTTGTATCTCTGCAAACCTTTGACATATTGACACCAAACATTGTGTGTGCCATTGTCACCTCACACAGAACACACCACATCAATTTAATAACAGCGCCACCTATTGGTCAAAAGTGATAACCCGTTAAATCATATTACTAGTGGTTGTATTTATGATTTTTGTGCCATTTTGACTAAAATCATCTTAAAATGGCTTCAATTACTCATTGCTGCTGTTGGTCTGATGCTTTCTACCTTGTTTCTGTAGTGCTAGGCCCCGATAAGCAGCTATATCAGCTATATTTATTATTATTATTAGAATCATTATTACTTTTCTTTAAATGTGATTTATGACTGATATCACTCATCCTTTTGCTAAAAACTTAGGTGTGATTTTTGACACTGATCTGAAATATGAAAAACAGATGAGTGCTGTGGTGAAGAGCAGCTTTTTTCAACTAAGGCAAATAGCCAAATTGAAATCTATGCTCTCGTTTAAGGATTAGGAGATAGTTACTCACGCCTTCATCACTTCCAGACTTGATTATTGCAATGCACTTTATATGGGTCTCAATCATTCATCACTGAATCGCTTGCAGTTAGTCCAGAATGCAGCTGCGAGGTTGCTGACTGGTACTAAGAGGAGAGAAAGCATTTCTCCTGTCCTAGCATCTCTTCATTGGTTACCGGTGCAGCATAGGATCCATTTTAAGATTTTATTATTTGTGTATAAAGCATTAAATGATCTAGCCCCATCATACTTGTCCGAACTTCTCAGCTATCAGCAATCCTCTCGCTCTCTCAGATCCTCTGATAAACGTTTCTTGCATATACCTCGCTCTCGCTTGAAATTTAAGGGGGATCGGGCTTTTTCTGTAGCCGGTCCTTGACTATGGAACAGCATACCTCTGGACATTAGATCTGCGCCTTCCCTTCCTGTTTTTAAATCCCGCCTGAAGACTTATCTGTATTCCTTGGCTTTTGGTTGAAATGTATGTTTGTGTATGTTAAAATATTAAAAATGTATGTTTAATGTGTTTTGTATAGATTGTGTTTTTGAGTAATTTCTTTTTATTCTCTTAATCTCTATATTTACTTATTTGTATATGTACAGCACTTTGGCATACACTAGCTGTTTTTAAATGTGCTATATAAATAAACTGACCTTGACCTTGACCTTGATTTCAACATTACAGTACTTTTACTTTCATTAAGGCCCACCTCAAACTGTTGCAATACAGTTGGAAGAACATAATTATCTTGAATTACTAGAATAGTCAAACCCATTCATTTGAAAAGGGTGTCCACATACTTACAACCATTTTGTGTTTGCGTACATGTATGTATAATAGTGTAAACACATCAGTCAAAAATTGGCCACACCTGTTCATTTTTTATTATTAATGTTTTTTTTTTTTTCATTTTACAACAATAGTAAGTTAATCGAAACTATGAAATGACACAACTGGAAGTATGAAGATTATGAAGTGACTGTTGAACTAGCCTTTGCATTGATTACAGCTCTACAAAACTAATTTCAATGCTTGAATCATAAATCTTCATTAATACATTATCAATCACGTGTGCCCAAACAAACAGAAACATAGTGTATATTTTCTTTGGTGTCGCTCTTTAATATGGCACTGAATTACAGTTGTGAGGTATTTAGCCTATTCACCCAGTAGGGATATGCCGGTATCAAATTTTCATGTTGCGATTTAATTGCTAAAAAATTCGGAATAATTTGTAATATATAATTATTCACGGTATTTAGAAGTGCCCACGATAACAATATTGTGCATATTCATTACCGTGATATATCGCATTACCGAATACCGGCACAAGTCTATCACCCAGTGTCCTCTGCAAAAGACCAAGCAAAACAGAAATAGTCCACACATTCACACACTCACTATTGTGCTTATTTAAGGTACTAGACCCTATATGCATCCATTTCAGTTTCATTGTTTCTATGGGACTGAGCAGGTTTTGAGAGTCGATACCCTGCCCAGCGCCCCACATATGACATGCTATATGTGTGGGTATTCTCACATGTATTCTGCTGTATCGGTGGGGCTAGAGGGGCGTATTAAGGGGTAACCGAACTCCCCCACTGGCACTGGTGTATAAATCTAATGCGTCCCTGCAGCCTTTTGATCCACTTTCAAGTCTCTCACCTACCAAATTAAAAGCTGACGTCTTGCTTTTGGAAATAGATATTTTGCGTAGTGTTTGTCTTGCAGATACAGAGATGGCATGAGGCAATTGTAAACAGGGTTTCAGGCTCCATATGCCAGACAGCTGAATGTAAAAAGCCGACACCTAATCCTGCTACCGTTTGCTTCATTCGTCAGCTCAGACCCCCCCAGTGCGAGTGAGGCTGGAAGCGTCTCCTCAGACCGCCAGATGATGACCTGGTCTGGACCAGAGACTTTAATCTAGAGATTAATGGTTGTAGCTTTATATGAGGCCGTGGCTGCGGAGGGGGATACAGTATGTGCCTGCAGCACTGAGGTTTCTTTCATTAGGCTGGCCTTGTTGCTCACGGGTGTCACCGTAACGGTTACTCATGGACTAGATATGCTAGGATGGTTTATTATTAGCAGTTCTACCCCAATCAGTCATTGGAGGAAGGTCTGAGGTTCAAAAATAAAGAGGTAACCACTCTGAGCTTGTCTGTGTGCAGTTTACAGAGATATTTTAGAAATGGAAGAGCTCGCATATTTACCGCCAGAGGTTGAACAACCTTGCCATTTGGCATAGAGGAGCAAAGCAGATACAGACAGAAACAGAGGAGAAGAGAACTGAAAGCAAGATAGAAGCTGTATGGATTGGAGGGCGGTCTGACAGAGAGGAGAAGAGACAGAAACTCAGCCCCAGAGGAGGAGCTGCTGTCCCGGGGCTGGTACCTGTGCTACAGCGGCTGACTCTCTGTGTGTTTACGCCATTTCTCGTGCCGTGATGAAGTCTCGTGGAGAGGCTGTGGGCTGGAGAGAAGTTCACGGACTCTGTCAAAGTTTCTGGTCCCCCTGCGAGGTGCAGGCTGCCTGCTGGAGAGGGGGATTCATCTGAAGACCACAAACACACAAACACTCGCTGGCTGAGTGTTCATTTGGTCGGACAGAACCTTTTCATATTTTTGTACTTCTCTAGACCACGGCAAAAGGACCACCAAGATGAGTCGATGGCTCAAATGCACCTCCATGTACTTTGTAGGTATCAAGAGATTCTCCAGTAGTACTTTTCCTCTAAACTTTGCTGTGCTCTGAGTTTTTTATTTGTCTTATGTATGCAAAGGCTGGAGGGACTGAGGCTGATATTGAATTGAGTGTATATGTGTGTTTGGAACTGATCCAGTGTGGGAGAATGGCTTATAGCTTTCTCCATAAATTCAAGGAACTTTGGAATACAGCAGGATTCTCCTGGAGAGTGAACTGTTGCCTGAGACCTTTGGAGCTTAATTGACTTTTGAAAAGCTTGTGTGAACTTGTATGATCATGCCAGGCTTAAAGCATCGTTTGTTGATGCAAAAGCTTTTCTTTTTCTTTTTTTGATTTGAGTAAGGTTAACACTACTCTAAATTATCAATTTCCTCAGGTGTTACTTTGGTTCATAAGTTATTTAGTGTCCTTGATGACTACAAGCCTTTATTAATTTATTATTTTATTTTAATTTCATTTTTATTGACATTCAACATCATATAAACATTTCCATTTCCATCAGATACATAGAAAACCCATTTTTTTCCTGTGAAGTATTATTTTTTTTCCAATTTATGTAAGAAAAGCTGTCTTCCTTTTTATTTTGTTAAGACTCCAAGCCTTTCATTTCCTGTTGTGCTTTTGAATATTTGAATACATGCTGTACTGGAGTTAACATTCCTTCATTCAGCTAATTACACTTGTGATCACCACCCTGCTTTATTTAACATGACACTGCTGTCTTTGTGTACATGCTGATGTTATGAGTGTTCTGATGTGTCTCTCTGTCTCTCTCTGTCCTTTAGAACACAGACTGGAATAAGTATGACGACAGGCTGATGAAGGCAGTGGAGAGGAGGGAGGTGGACAAGGTCGCAGCAGTGCTTGGCAAGAAGAGCATCATCCCCACCAAACTTGACGTAGAGGGGCGCTCTGCGTAAGTATCCCTGTCACTATGGGATGGGTCACCATGGTTGACTAGTCATCCAACAACTGATTAGGCTATTAGTAAGGTCAACTAGTTTATCTACATATTTCTTGTTTATGTGTTTAAGAAAGCATGTGAAGTTAAACAGTCCTACATTTCAAAACTTGTTTCCAGAACCCTGCGTTCTCATCTCTTCTTTGCGTGTGGTCTAACATTTAACTTAGGAACACGTACTTAAGAAACTTGGCCGCTTTTGAATGGATTAACCCGAAACCAGCCTAATTATACAGGGCATCTTTAAGACCAATTAATCGACTAGGCAGAATTCAAGCTAGTCTTGTTTTCAAAATATGTAGTTTTGTACAAACTGTGAGATCACTCATAATACTTTATCTCACATAGTTTCACAAATACTTTAACACTCGTTACAACTGCATATTTCTTGTAATAAACATTTCTGTAATAGTATAGGCACAATAGTGTTAAAGATTTTTCATTATAGGAAAAAAAAAAGATTTCTTGTCTTGAATATCTTGGGATTTCTGCTGTATCATTATCTTAAACTCATGCTTTCAATATAGTACACTCTATATTGAGTCCTTTTTTTTCTTTGTGTGTGTATTTATGCATTTATTTATGCTGTTGTTCATGCTTTGGTCTTTAAAGTTTCATTGATAGGTTTATGTTTTGGTCCAATCTGGACTGAAGCATTTTGTGTCCGACCAAGAGTTTGAGTTAAAGGTGACATATGAAAATCGAACTTTTCCAGGCTATAATCAGGTCCCCGGTGCATCTACCAACCAAGGAAACGTAAAAAAGATTAACCCAGTAACTTTGTTTTGGTAAGCCTTTTTCTGCAAGCGTCTGAGAAAACGAGCGTCTGTTTTTGCTCACTTGGTGACATTGTCAAGTCAAGTCAAGTCAATAAACATGCGATTTATTTCCCAGCAGTTTACCTTCACAGACATAATGACTGTTTTTGTAACTCTTGTGTTTTTAATGTAAACTTATGTGTGAATGAGAACTTAGTTTAAGTGGTATAATATGTTTCCTTTAATATTGGAAAACATGTTGTGGTTAGAGATGCTTGACTTGGCACAGACCAGATGAGTCCAGAACAGCCGGGGCCTCCTGGGCCGGAAGTGGGTATTCAGTAGGGCTGGGTATCGTTTGAATTTTATCGATTCCGGTTCCGATTCTGCTTATCGATTCCGATTCTTATTGATTCCTATTTCCTACAAAAAATCCATTAAACACATTTTAAGTAAAATATTTAGTTGTCAAACATATTTATTCTGTTTTATGTCTATGGTTTTATCAAAAAAATATCACAGAAAAAAACAACTAGACTAATATAAATTACATTAAATTAAATTAAATTTAACATTCAATTGTTAAAGACAAGTAAACAAATTAATTAGCAATAGCATAAATAAATAAAACTGAACAAATGTCAGGTACAGAAATTGAAATCAAAAGTTTAAAAACACTGTATAGTTTTCTTTTCATAAATAAAATATTGATTAATCCTCATTAAAATTACGAAAGATATTCAGTCAGGTAATGATTTTCTTTTGTTCTTTGATTAACATTAATGATAGGCAGCACGTTTATTAGACGGCTGTCTCTTTAACACCGAACACACACAGATCTAAAAATACTGTTACACATGCGTTTTCTTTCTCATTTGTTTACGTTCACTTAAGACAAAAAAACGGCTGTGTTTATGATGATATGCTGACGTATTTCGTGCATACTGGTCGATAAATGTGAAAGAAGTCAGTTCTGGCCCGGAACAACCTTTGTGGAAATGCACGGAACAGTTTGAGAACGGACACAGGTCGGGAACCTGCATCGGGACCACTGTTCTCTGTGCTTGCGCTTCAGATGTGTGCGCTGCACGCAAACAGTGTGCAAGTTCTTTCCCTTCCTGCACTTAAATAGTTTAAAATCACATTAAAATGCGAACGCTGGAATCGTTAAGCGGAATCGAAATGCACATGTCTTATCGAATACCCGATTATTGGAAATTTGGAACAGTTTCTAAAATGGAACCGGTTCTCGATACCCAACCCTAGTCTTCAGTGAGTAAATCTTATGTACACTGACTAAATTTAGGACCTAAAATCCCCCCCTTCCTAAACCGTCATGTTAACTGCTTATTTAATCTTCTTCTGAAAGCTCCAAGTCCAGAGAGCTTTAGATTATGCCTTTTTATTTTGGGATAAATGCAGGAAAAATATTTTTGAGGTCAGAGGTGAATCGTTGAACCCCATTGTGCAATATCACTGATTGATATTGCACATTATTACACTGCCACACAGTAGACCTCAACACTGGTGGATCAACTGTGTCTTTTTCTGTTTTAGAAAGCCTAGTTGGCCTCCCATCAGTGCCTGATGTTTTTACTGCCTCGACAGGGTCTATGTAGGGCATAGACAGACACATTTCAGCTTGATTTAACCACAGCTTTGTTTCATTCCCTCATTTAAAGCCATAAGGTTCCCCTTTGGGTATTTTTGTCATAGTGTGAGATTCTTCTTGCCCTGTTGGTAGTAGAAGAGCTTGACTTGTAATAAGGTGCTAGAATTTCTTAGGACTAAATCAAGAGCATCGGTCGCTGTCACAGTCGCCGGGTCGGCGTTATAGTGTAACAGAGCTCAATTAATAAACACCAGCCTGTTATATGTAACATGCTTGTGGATGTCAGTGCACCATAATGGCTGCCAGATGACCTGAACATGGGGATATGCAGCATTTTTGTGCATAGTCGAGTGGAATACACAGGTCAAATGTTGACTTGAGATTTGTGGAAATCCTCTGTTCATATATAGCAGGACCCCACATGCAGACTGCATCTCCAGTCTGTTATTTCCCTCGCCGGTCAGAATAGCTCACAGGGAGGGCAGAGCACAGGGCTTGTAGGGTGTAATCCAGTAGTTCTGGTGGGTAAATTGGTAACCTGCATTAGGACAGCATTTTTGCCTTGTGGGCAGATGGAAATGAGCAAATTATTTCAATAACAGTATGGAATGAAATACACCTGCTTGATGGAGCTTGCTAATAGTTGGTTAGCTCACAGGAAACATAGACCAAGCCTTCCTGCTGTGGCAGTAACCTTTTGTTTCTTTAACACACCCAGTTTTGAAAATAGATTTGTACACGGTTTGCAGTTAACACTTGAGAGTAAAATTGGTTTTGGTTAATAGTTGGTTAGCTCACAGGAAACATAGACTAAGCCTTCCTGCTGTGGCAGTAACCTTTTGTTTCTTTAACACACCCGGTTTTGAAAATAGATTTGTACACGGTTTGCAGTTAACACTTGAGAGTAAAATTGGTTTTGGTAGTGAATAAGTTGGCCAGTAACTTTGTTAGGAACTGAAACATAATATATGGTTTAAATCAAATTGCAAGAATGAAAACGGTTAAAAATGTTTTTCAGTAATTGAAATAAAGCTGAAATAAAATATAATTATTAAATAGAAAAACCTAAAATATAAATAAAAAATAAAAATAAAAGTAAAATAAGTATAGAAATATAAAAAAAAAACAATGTAAATGACAAACATAACAGTATTATTGAAACTTAAACTTAAATTAAAATGATCATTGAAAAATAAAAATATGAAAATAAATGGCAATTCAAAATATGAATACATACTATAATACGTATAAATACTACTGAAATAACAGGTATGCAGGTCCCTGGAAGCAAACCAGCTGTTCTTTAATTTGGGAGTATCACACTACAGTCTCAAAACTCAGACTTGATAGTATTATTTGGAATTATTGTATTATTATTATTATTATTATTTTAAAAATGCTTGACTAGTAAGAAATATTTATGACTAGTAAATTTTCTCAGTTTGTTCGCCATTGACAGATGTGACTGAAAGTTAATTTTAGACCCTGAATACACAAAGACCGAAATATCTTTAGAAGTTCAAAAGACTCTTTTTGAGTTACTTAAAATTTTGCTTCTGTAAGAGGCTTTTAAGTAAGAATGAGTCTTGCGTTCAGTAAAGTATTCCTAATGCATTCCACACTTAGAAGATATTCAGATACACTGAAATGGCTGTTGCTGAACTGCAGAGACTCTGGTGGCAGACTAGTACAGCATGCAAAAGTCTTGTTTTGAATTCAAACTGGCCCCCCATCCCACCTCTCTAGCACCTCTAAAAATACATAATGTATCTTGAAGCCACAGATATGCGAGTCAGCCAAGGAGTTGGAGCCAAGCTAGAATGACATGTCTGGGTCTTCATGACCATCTGAGCTTTTCAGTCTCTTCTAATGAGGGTCACTTACCACCATTAATAAGTCACCTTCTTTTCATCTACCTAATAAAATGTTATTACATTGAGTCATTTGGAACCTGCAAAAGCAATGAGCTGTGGCTCTCATTTGGCTTCCCTGGAAATAGTTTTAACTTAAATTTAGATTTAAATTTGACCATCATATGTAGTTTATAGTAGTGGATCAATGTTGTTTTGATGACTTACAAAATGACTATAATGTAACTAATGTTGTATGAATTTTCATAAAAATTAAGTTTCAGAAAGTGATACACTAGAGATTGTGATGAATCGCCATGTTGCTGAAACAGTATTGATAACACTTAAGACATATTCTCTGTCCTGATTCTAACAATAACAAATTGCCACCCATCCATCACTCCATGGGTGGTTGTTTGGGACAGTGTGTGGAGTTATCCTCAATTTCACATGTCAAGCTTCAGGTCAAAGGCCTGTCTACATGTTTGGCTTCTCACCATCAACACTGTCTAAAATAACACTTTCCAAACACAGGTGAAAATCTGCACGTCTCTCTTTACAACATGTCTCATTTAAAAATGTGCTCAAAGTGCTGATTTTTATCAATTCTGCATCTTGCATATAAAGTAAGAAGTGAATGTGAATTCATTAAATATGGACATTATCTTGGCCATCATTTTGATAATGGAAGTATGTTTATATGAGATATGTATGAATAAAAAGTATGCTTATGTAATTTAAAGTGAGGAGTTTTGTGTGCAGATGCATTTGAGAGAAAGAGTTGAGTTTCTCTTGATGGTAGTCCTTTCCTCCTCTAGAATGCTGATGATGGTGGTAGGAGCAGGTATAGTGCAATTTTTAGCATGCACTTGCCACAGCTTTAACCCTTTCACCTGTTTGTATTCCTTTCTCTCTCCTTTTCTCTTCAGGTTCCATCTTGCTGCCTCCAGAGGACATCTCGACTGCCTGAATCTCATTCTTAATCATGGTGTGGATATCACAGCCACAGATGCCACAGGTTAGGATTTTTAATACCAGGGAACACATATAATCACAAAACATATCCCTTAAATGTAATTTTGTATACAGTAAAGCTGTCTGTCCAGTTTCCTTAAAGGGATAGTGTACCTAAAAAAAAAAACCCAATAATCTTAGAAACTGAATTAGAATTTTAGAAACTGTTCCCAACTTCCAAACCAATAATTTCCAAATTAAAGAACACAATATTCTCACAGGATTCATTAAAAATATCTTCATTTGTGTTGCGAAAACAAACAAAAGTTTAGAATGGCATAAGGGTGAGTAATTGATGACAGAATTTTTATTCGTGTGAGAACTAATCTAGGGTGAAATATCTCTGTAAATTAAAATGATATAGCCACACTAGGGTTGCACGATAAATCGAAATGGAATCGAGATCGCGATTCGACAGAAGCTGCGATTGTCATGCGTATCTTTCAGTGAAGCACGGTTCTGTGATCAGCAGTAAATCTCCATCCAAAGGCCAGAGGGCGCTCTCGCGCTGAAACTCCAAATACGCCTCGCTCCTGCTGATTACAGAACCGGCTTTTTTAACAAAATGCGCATGACAATCACATTTGATTAATCGTGCAGCCCTAAGCCACACATTCTTCACCAGAGAGTGAGGTTATTCTTGCTAACTTTTGTAGAGATAAGCCATAAACATGTCACTATCAACTGATATGTACAGAAGAACTTTTTTATGTGAAATGGGAATAGATGTGGTACATTTTTGTAAGACTCTCTCAGTTTACATCAGTCTCTACAAGCGGACTGGTCAAGATTGGTACATCGAAAACACTCTTGTTATCTAATGGCTCCTACTGATTTGTTGTTTTGTTCCTGTAGGAAAAAATGCCTTACACCTGGCAGCCAGAAATGCCCAGTCACTGTGTGTGCAGAAACTACTCCAGGTAAAGCTGCTTTTCACAATCAACACAGTTGTAAGAAAAGGATAGAAACTCGATGTATTTTTGGGCTCTTTTCTTTTAAAGCTAGACAATTTCTGCTCTATTGTATCCTCTTTTTAATGTGAAGAAAAAGTATTGAATAGTATTTTTGAAGTGTAGGTGTGAGGTTTTCTGAGGACTGTGATGGTGAGATGAACTTAACAGAAAGGATCATTTACTGCCTCCATTATAGGGCTATGCCAATACTATCTTGTATCAGTGTGTCCAGGTTTTCTCACTGTATTGTGTCAATACTAAACTATTTTTATAATTGTATTTATATGAATTAAGACTTGTATCATTCCCTGAAGTTCAGTTAAGCACTTTCTAAACAGCATTTTTCAGTGCAGTTAAAGCTCTATCATTGAGATGCAGTACTGAAGAAAAGTAAAGCAAACAACTGAAGAGAGACTCTCTGAATCTCTGATTTGATCTCTCTCTCAATCTCTTCTCACGTTTGATACTATTTTAATTGCAATCCAGTTTTATTGTTATATAGCAATGTGTTGAATCAGTTTAGGGTCAGTAAGATTTTGAATGTTTTTGAAGTCTCTTCCTGTCTGTTCACCAAATGTATTTATTTGATAAAAAATAAACTAAAATATAGTACTACTTTAAAATATTATTTAGATTTTTTCTATTTTACATATAAAAAAGAAAAGAAATGTAATTATTTACAGTGATGGCAAAGATTTGGTGCTTAAGAAACATTTCTTACCACAGCTGAAGGTAGTTATGCTGCTTAATATTTTTCTGTGGAAACCATAATGCATTTTTTTTTCAGGATTCTTGAATAGAAAATTCTAAATAACATTTATTTAAAATGGTAAATACATTTTTAAAAAATCACTTTTGATCAGTTTACTACATCCTTTCTGAAAAAATGATTAATTTCTTCTTTAAAAATACTGTTTAAATTAAGTATTGAACAGTATGTTTTCTGATTCTTTTCTACTTCATTGTCATCTGTGTGTTCAAGGAAGGGCCCCAAAAATTTTATTTATTTATTTTTTTTTGCAAACCTTTATTGCTGTTGGTAAGCTAACTCCAGCCCGCAGGCTCATAAACAAAGTGTAACTAACAAAGCGGAGACCTGAACTCAGTTGCATAATACTGAACCTGACATCCTGATTTTGAGAAAATGATGGTGTTTGAAGGCAAATCGAGCAGAGCTTGTTTACAGACATGCTGCTTAATTTCAATCAATTCCGCAAACACATTTTGCAAGAGGGTAAAACTCGGTCTCTGTGTCGTTGTGAGTGATGGTGCTCGAGATAATTAAGATGGGAAATGATTCCTATCACTTGCTCGATGACTCTGACAACAGCGTCTTTGTCACAGTGACTTGTTTGTGTTAATTACTTTGTACCGCAGGGAGCAAAATTAGAAAGATCTGACTTCACTAATTATGTATAAATGAGTTTTAGTAAAGTTTGTCTAATGCTTGCCTTTGAAATCACTGACAGCTAGTATAAAGTGTAATCCACCATAATGCTCTGCCAGTGTCATGACTCTGTCCTGCTTATGCAAACAACATTGACTCGATGGATGAGAGTATTTTCACGGGTGTGTGCAGTGTTGACAGGCTGCCCGTACTGTAACCTGCAGTCAATATTTCTCTGCCAGCATCATGTGCAATCTGAAACTGGCTCTTAGAGCCCATTAGATAGAGTTACCCAGGACACAGTTAGCCAGCAGGACCATGTGACCTTGCTACTGGTTTTGGAGGCTGTTGCTAGAGCATAAAAGGTTTTTATAGTGACTGAAGGCAGAGGAGTTGTTTTGTAAGAGGTAGCAAAAAAGAAGCCGAGAAAGTTTCAGGCTTGAGAAAGTAGGACAGAGAGTGGAATATGGAGAGAGTAAAAGAGATTTTAGAAATGAGGGCACAGGGAGTGGTGGGACTGAAGACCACTAAGGCCAGTATCTTAGCAAAACTCCTTTGCTTGACATGGTTTCACTTCTCAGGTTCAGAGTCATTTCAAAGATTCAAACTAAAGTCTCACACACGCAGTGACATGCATGTCACTCTGATCCGTTCTTGGTTTTTGTGTTCATCTGTTCCGGAGCAGGCAGTCATCTTGGATGTTTTTAAAAGTTTAAACTTTAAACTCATCCTCTGACCTTTTAAATCTTAATGGCCATGAAGTGTTTCTGAATGGCGTGACTGTGAGTGTGACGAGTGTTTTGTGTTTCAGCACAATTGCCCAGTGGGAAATGTGGACCTGCAGGGAAGAACAGCCTTGCATGATGCTGGTAAGTAAAAAGCTTTGTACATTTTGAGGTTTTGTTGGAAATGAACTCTGCAGTCCTCTCTCTTCCACCTAGCTTGGGGGTTTCCTGCTCCCTCCATTTTCTTTGCTCGTTCATTCTATCTTTTTACTTCCTCCTACAACAAGTGGTGAAGCAGAGATGGAAGGGGATGGAGGGAATGGGTACTGGATGAATGCTTGAATGTGATTCTTTGAGGCAGTAGCCGTTGTAATCAATGAGATGTAGTTCATGGGCTTATTTTCCTTCCCTCAGACGGCTTTCATGTAAGATTTAAAGCTCTTGTTCAGTGCCCAGTGGAGGTTTTGGATTTATTCATTTTTTTATGTTTGAGTGTGATATCAGATGAGTCTACTGAATCTAATTTGCATGCTTGGGGGAAATGTTAAGGAATATTATTATTGTTTGTCTTTTCAGTTATGGCTGGCTGCTCCTCCAGTGTGAAGCTGCTCTGTGACAACGGGGCATTAGTTAATGCCAGCGACTTTGTGAGTTAATATGTGGCTTGTGGGATGTTTAATATCCTGATAACTTCTTAATGTCGTCTCATTCCTTTTACCTGGACAAATGTTCTGTATTTTCATTTCCCCTCAGATTTACTTTATCTTTACATTTTCTCTCAGATTAGTTTTTTTTATGTCTTTTCTGTTTGAGTTGATGCAAATGTGCACTTTTACATTTGTGTGTTTATAGGATGGTGGGACCCCATTGGTGCTTGCCACTCAAATGTGTCATCCACACATCTGTCAGCTGCTGTTAGAACGAGGAAGTGACATCACAGTCAGAGACAAACAGAAAAAGTAAATATCACATTCATATTTTTCAGTAATTGATTTTCATTGGCTCTCTGTATTTCTTAATCTGTTGAATTTTCTTCTATTGAATCTCTTTTAGAATTTATTGTAAGAGCTGGCACTGCCGTTTTTAACTTGAATGTGCAAGGCCTCCGGTGTCAGATGCTTCCAGTTATTTTAGCTGCTTGATAATGCAAATTGGTATTTGTTAGCTTTATGTTTTAATTCATCATCGTAATCATAAACACAATGGTTTGTAGTGTGAGCAGTTTAACACTGCACTATTATTCTTTTAGTTACTAATGAATCTGAAGTCTCACAATTTCACTGAAAATAGCTTCCTTTCATGTTGGAAAAATAAGGTGAATAGGGGGATATAAAAATGTATTAGTGTTGTTCTTGTCCTAATAGTTCACAGGTGCATTTTTAAATGTTATATTTTGATGTCACTGTCAGTCATATTGAAGCGATGTGTTTGTGTACTTCTTTGTTCACTCAGAACAGCATTGATTCTGGGCTGCGAGTATGCTTGTAAGGATGCTGTGGGCGTTTTGTTGAAACATGACGCTGATGTCACTGCTGTGGATGGTTTTGGTCATGACAGTTATCACTATGCACGACTCAGCAAAAACCAGGAGCTTGTCTCGCTTGTCAAGAGTTACCTGGACAGTGCCACTAAAGGTTTTGTTGTTTCCTTTCTCTCTCTCTCTCTCTCTCTCTCTCTCTCTCTCTCTCTCTCTCATATATATCTCTACAGTGTTAGAGCAATAGAGCAGTGCTTTAAATCATAAATTGAAAGGAATTAAAATGTAGCTTAAATTGCATTGGCACACCACACTGTATGAAATTATTAACATAAACTGAATTGGAACATTTTGTAATGCATGAGCAACAATGGCAATGTGATTCAGTGGCCCAAAACATAGAAAAAACACTGGACTAAACGACTGGTAAGTGTGTCCAGAGATTGAGTTTGATTGGACGCACAGTTTTGTAGTTGGTTGCGTTTTATTATTTGCATCAGTTATTGTTTGTCACATCAGAACAGATCGAAGTCTGCAGTCTAAAATACTGGACAGTCAGTGATTTAAACGAGAAAGAAAGCACACAAGCTCAGATTAAAGAGAGGAATATTGATTTTTAAATTAAAAGCAAAAAAGGGAGGGCAAAATCAAGCAGGATATAATGTAGTCCTTCATTGCAGTTTCACAGTCCAAGCTTTTGGTTGATGTGGCCAGAGCGAGCACTTCAAAATAGCCATAATGACAACAAACGAGCAGAGCGAAAAGAAGTGATTTGCCAAGCAGTTTCTGGCAATATTATTACTAACAGTAGACCACTATTATCATTGGAACAAGATATTCCTTTATCACCTCATTACTTCCAATGTTCCATTCCATTATCCTTTGCATTTAAGTGGTTTTATTTTTATTTTTCATTTAAGTATGTTTCACATATTGCAACTTTTCACAGAAAGGCTGATGAAAATTTCTGCCATTCTTTGTGTAAATCAGTTGAATGCAATTCTTTGTCAGTTTTTTAATCCTTTTTCCCCCTGCAGTTCACATTACTTTTTTGCATCACTTTTGGTGTGAAATAGGCCTTTATCAGGTAGGAAGGTTATAGAGATCAAAGCCCCAAGAGCTTATGCACACGCTTCCTAAGAAAAGTGTAGAGTAGCGTCTTTTCAAGCTTCATGCTTCAGAGTGAAAAAGAAGAGCTACTTATACATACCAGAACTCCTGAGAAAAAAAACATCTCTATCCTCTTTCTGTATGTTTTTCTTTTTCTTTCAGTTCCATGAATTACTAATTAATCATTTATATTCACAGCAAAAGAGGCTGCCAAGATGGAACAGAAAAAGAGACAGGTATACGCAGCATTTTCACCTTTCGTTTCATTCTGAGCATCTCCATGCAGATGAGATTTTAAAGAAACATAATATACAGATTATAATCAATCACAACAGGTTAAAACTGTTCCCCCTTACTGATTAACTTTTGTCATTGTCTGAGTTTTATTACTTATCAAAAATGCACTGATATATTTTCTTTGGACATACTGCACAGAGAAAGGCTGCCGTCATTCTCATTGTAATTTCACTGAAGCCATCTATAGCAGAGTCTGCGTCTAGAGTCTGAAATCATACAAATGAGATTTATGATGGATCTGCAGAGAGAGCACAATTTAGTTTTTATTTCAGCACTTATACTTATATCATATAAAATGGAGAACAAATTACTTCAGACTAATATAATTCCTTGTTACATACCATGTCTCTCTGTCTTAATGCACTAATCTGACCGTACCTGCAGAAGCGACTGCAGTGCTGTAGAAAATTTTATGCACTACTGCCACCCAGTGTTTAATGAAAGTAAATAAAATTTTCTCTAAAAGAACCAAATCCAGCACTTTTTATAATTTAACCACATTTTATCCTGATGTTCACTTATGTTTACCATTATTATCTGGGGACATTAATTATCAAGGACCACTCATTTCTAACATGTGGATTTGTCAGAAGTGTATGTAGAGCAGCAGTTTCTGCTCCACAGCCAGGAACAGCATAGTTTTGCACCTGAATAATAGTATTCTCTAGTGTATATGAATAATATTGGCCTACAATTATAACAATACAGTATTTTATTGTTGTATGTAGTATTTTTTGGACTCCGAAACACTTCACTAATTTAGAGGTTTTTCCTCCTACTTTACAGCTTATCACGTTACAAATGGCCCTGCAATTAGATTAAAAAGACACCCTGATTATTTTTGTGTGGCTTGCCATTTTTATATATTTTATTTTCTGTCTGTTTTAGTTGCAATCTGTGGAGATGGTCTCTGAAACCTCTAACCGTGATAAGATCATACAGGTGAGTGCCATTCATGTCCATGACTGTTACCAGTAAATAAGTTTATTATTAGACCTGGACTTATTCTGTGCCATTTACATGTTTTTTTACACATTCTGTAGCTGAATTTGTATTAATTATTAGGGATGTAAAACATTCATCATAGACATTTTTTGCATTGCAAACTGTACATAAATATAAATGAGTAGGCAATCTGATGTTTTCCAGGGTCTGGAAAAAAAGAATGAGAGCCAACAGGTGACACTAAAGAAGTTCCATCAGGAACAGAGAACGCTGCTCGATAAAGTTAACATGCTTCAGCATCAACTCAGCCAGGTGTTTCTTTGGTTTTTTACTAATTGGCCAGTTTATTGGCAAGCCTGCACCTTACACGTTGTTTTCAGCACTACAGTAAATAACAAAAGAAGCCAAAGTACTGTAGATGGTAGTCTCATCTGTATTTATCTGTTCAGGTAGTTGTGTGTTTATATTGTAATAGTTCTATAGATATCTTGTGTAATACATGTGTTCTCTGTCTCTCTTTCTGTTCTGTTCTTTCCTTCTTTCAGGAAAAGTCAACCGTGGAGGACATTCACAAGGAGGTAATTTGTGTGTTTTCCTGGAAATTGCCGCCTTCTGTCCTAGTGATATTGTCTGCTCTCATTTTAATTTCTTCATCATTTTCTTCCCATTTCTGTCATAGTATTGATGGAAGGATATTTGTTTGTTTTTGTTAAGGTTGGGTGGTAGTTGCTGTTGAATATGCATGTGTATCTGTGTTTTCTACACCAGAGAGAAGAGCTGAAGCTTTTACTTTCTGTCAAAGAGAAGGAGGAAGGAGCCAGCGCTGTAGAGACTGTGAGAGTCCAGCAGCAGAGTCATTTGGTCAGTAAAAATCTTTGCAACATGCTCTTCAAAGACTGCTGCTCGTTAACTCCAGATCCAGCAGTTCATGATCAAAGTTTGATGAGCTGATGAATAAATCTGCATGTTTTTATTTTACAGGGAGATTACCCTGGCCAGTCTGTGATCAAAGGTGACTTTGTCTTTAAAATCTGGATCTTTATACTAATTAAGTTTGACCCTTGATATTAGAGACCTCAATATAAACAGTGTACTGATGTTGAAAAAATGTTGAGTGTAGGGATGTCAGAAAAGTAATTTTTCTGTAAGTGAAGATGGGTTTGCGTGTGTTTTCATTTTGGGTTCTTTTTTCTGCAGGAAAAGACAATGTATTAGTGCGACAGTCACACAGCTTGGATTCTGCTCAGGTGAATTTAAATTTCTTTAAAATCTTCTTAACATAAATGCCAAGAATTTCTGCTGAGGCCAAGAAGCTCATTACATTTTATGTATAATTTACATGATGTAAACCAACTTCAACACATGCCAGTTGGGACGAACTTGAAGTTAAAGGTCTTTAAGGAAACAGTTGTGGAATGACTACAGAAGTACGAGAGGATTGATTTCTGAGGGATTATACTGTTGTACTGCTACTAACAGATTTTTATCCATAAAATGTTGCATTAAAAACAAGTCTATCGTTAAAGTATGGCATGCTCTCTGTTACCACAATAAAACACAATAGGACCTAAACATTTATATGTTAACATGAACTTGCTGTGTCCAAAAATTCCTGTCAGTGGGTTATAAAATGTAAAAAAATGTCTAAATCTGTATATATTAAACACTGTCTAAGAGTATTTATATATGGTTATTATAGCATATAAGGGAGTAACACTTTATTTTCTGCCTGTAATATGTGTAACATGGATATTGTAAAGTAATTAGTAATAACAATAGAATTAATCACTATGAAATAAGTCTGTAGCATTCAGCTCTACAAAATGTTTACACAATAAGTAAATGTAGTTTATTATCATTACTCTATATGTACTTTTGTAAATACACAGGAGCCAGTCAGTTCAGTGTACATAAACAGAGACCTTTTTTTCTTATGGCGTTCAACAATGGCATCAAACTTCCAAGTGCAAATGCTTAAATTTAAAATCAAGAATTGATTCTAAAGGTTTGCTGAGCATGCACAAGCTTAACATTTAGTTATTTCTCCCAAGGTTTGGTATTTTATATATATTTTCTTCCTTCTGATATTTAGTAATTCATTGAGCAGACTGGCTGTGTCAGCTGCGTTAAGCTTAGGAGAGGCAGTGGCAGTCAGATAAGTTGCTCTCTCTCGTTTCATTTCAGAACCTCCATAGCCTGCAGTGTCAGAAGGGTTTATGATTTATTAGCGCTATTCTCTGAAGGGACGTACTATGCCTGGGATCAGCTTTTGGGCAGATGTGGTGGATGCAATTTTGTTGTCACATTAGCACCAGAGACGACTTTACTCTCACCTATGTTGCCCTAGTGTGACCCCATATGAGAAAAATGTATAAGAACCATTTAATCTTCTCTTTCTCTTTTAAGGCTGGCTGTTGATACTGTTTTATCTATTTATTTATTTATTTTTTTTCATTATTTTAGCTTGATCTAAATCCCCTAATTTCTTGTTTCCAGTCTTTTCCACTGTGGCATAGTAACTATCCATGAAAAACACTCAGACAAGATATGCTGTCAGAATGTTTGTTAATAATGAATGCCTACTTATGTTTGCATTCAGATATTACAGCCTACAGGACCATCTCGATCTGTGGCTCGACCTTTGGAGCTGTCTCGGCCAGTGGCTGGTGATCCTGAGACACTTCGTCAAGAGCTTGAATGTGTCCGCAGACAGCAAGAGGTGGCACAAGGGGAGGTGGGCCGCCTCCAAAAGGCTCTAGCATGCAAGTCTCAGGAGTGTGAGGAGCTGACCAGGAAGTGTGAGACTATCAAACGTGAGTCGGATCAGCAGATACACGAGCTAGAGGAAGCCATGGGAGATGTGCAGAAGCGAATGATAGACTCTGAGACAAAGGTGAAACAGCTTCAGGCTCATGTGGTGGCGGTAAAGGAGCATCTCAATAACCAAGTTGTTGATGACCTCAAAGCACAGCTGAATGAGGTGAAGGCAAAGTATGAGGGTGCTTCTGCTGAGGTTGGGCGGGTCAGGAATCATTTAAAGCAGAGTGAGAAAGCTTTGGAGGAGTATAAGAAAGGTGAAGGTCTGCTGGCTGTGGAGGTTGAGAGTCTCACTGCAGAGCTGAGTGCAATGCGAGAGGACCATAAAAACATGGAGGCGACGCTCTTAAACATGGAGGGTCAAGTGAAGACTGCAGAGGCCAGGTTGACATCAGTGGTTCCAGGAGAGAAGTTTGACAACATGAAGAACCTCCTTACCAATGCTGTGGATGAGAAGGAGCTACAGTTGTCTGAGTTAAGGGAGGATTATGACCGTGTGCTGGAGGAAGTGGCAGAGCTCCACCGTGCGATGGACGACCGACAGTCCGTCCCCCTGCAAGAGCACGAGCGAGTCCGGGCTGCTCTGGAGGAGCAAAGCTCAACCCTGAAGAAGAAACTTGCTGATGTCACTGCAAAGTGTCAGTCATTAATTTGCGAAGTGGAGGAAGGTGAGGATGAGAGAGAACTGCTCAGAGAGGAGCTGCGGGAACTCAGCAACAATCTGAAGACCAAGTTTGTGACCTCGGGAAACCATGAGGAGGTGAAGAGGTCTATGGGACTCGCTGTGGAGGAGTTGAGTGTTAGGTTAGCAGAGGAGACTGAGAAGAGAAAACAGGCTGAAGAGCAGCTACAGAGGCTGCAGGAGGAGAAGACCTCTCTTTGTGAGAACATTGCCAACCTGAGGAGCATGTACATCCCCTGTGAACGTTATGAGAGTGAGTTGGCTGCACTCACAGAACGCAACACAGAACTGGAAAGAGATCTTAATAGCCTTCAGGATCAATACCACGAGAAAGTCTCTGAACTTGGGATTTTGGCAGCTGAAAAAGCATTACTGAAGCAGAGCTTTGACATTGAGTTTGTCACAAAGAATGAGAATGAGAGAGTGCAGACTGAGTTAAATGAGGCTTTGGAGAAAGCAAAGATCGAAATCGCAAAGTTGGAGGATGATTGTAGAGTTCGGGAAGAGGAGTTACAGAAGGTGAAAGAAGGAAATGCTATGTTGAAAGAGGAGTTTGAGAATGTGCAGGCCAAGTTAGAAAATGACTATATCAGCCTTGTGGAACATGAGATATTGAAAAGCACAATGAGCAAAGCTTTATCAGAAGCAGAGGGAAGAGCTCAAGATGCCTACTCCAAGTACCAGTGTGCTCAAGAGAGCGCATCAAAGCTCCACAAGGAAATCGAAGCTCAGAAGAAAGAGTTGGATACTATTCAGGAGGCATTGCAGTTGAAGTTTGTTCCGTTGACCGCTATGGAGGAAAAAGAGATGCATTTCAACACTGCTCTGAAGGACTTGGCAGAAAAACTTGCCGAAATGCAGGAGATGTACAATGACGAAAAGACCAAAGGGGAATGCCAAAGGCAAGAGAACGAAAGATTGAAGGATGAGATGGCATTTCTGCAGCAGAAACTTCAGACAGGGCTTGTGTCCAGTGAGAAGTACAAAGAAGTGGAGGATCGCTGCAAGGGCCAGGTGGAGGAGCTAAGTCTGAAATTGGTGGAGCTGGAGCAGCAATATAAAGAGGTTACGATCCAGCGGGCCGAACTAGAGGAGAAAAATGCATTGTGCAACTCTGAGATCCAGAGTCTCCAAAAGAAACTGAATATTGAGTATATTCATCTGGAGCAGTTCGAGGCCATGCAGAGCTCTCTGAGTGGCAGCCTGCAGGAGGCGCAAAAGGAGTGCAAGTGCTTACGAGAAGCTCATAGACTGGAAGTTCAGCGTGTTCATGAACTAGAGAAACAGCTTCAGAGTCAGAGCTTCGATGAGGCCCAGTATAGCCAGGTTAAAGGGGCTCTGGAACGTGAGGTCAATGAGCTTCGCATGGCGCTGTGGGAGGAGGAAGAAACCAGTGCGCAGAGGGCTGAGGATGTAGCCACTCTGCAGACTGAGCTTCTCAGAGCCACACATGCTTTGGATGATCTCCACAGCCATGAGGAGCAGGTGACCCAGCTCAGAGCAGAAAAGCACAAGCTGGAGGAGGAGGTGCGTGAACTTGGCAATCGGCAATCAGGACTGGATGAGCAATATGAGGATCTGTACAGGGAAACAACACGTGCTAGGGAGGGTGAGAAGAGGGCGAGAGCGGAAACCGAGTCCCTGCAGGTAAAGAGTGCCTCCATTGAGAAGGAGATCAGAGATCTAAAAGAGAGATATGAGGAATCAATGAGCACCATTGGAGAACTGCAGAAGAGGATTCAGGTGTCCTCAGAGCAGACTGAGCTTAAAGACAAAAGGGTGAGATTGTTATATACTCATTGGTTATCTGGAAGAGCTTTCTCGATAAGTGCTTGTAATTTTGTCAGATTATAAGCAAGGTGTTCTTCGTTTCAGATCACAGAACTGTTGGCAGATGTTGAAAGGCTGAAACAGGCTCTGAATGGCTTATCCCAGCTGGCTTATGCTGGCAACACACCCAACAAGAGACAGACTCAACACATTGACACACTCCAAGCCCAGGTCAAGAGCCTCCAGCAGCAGCTGGCTGTGAGTAGCTCTGTGCACATACACATACCAGCGGATTTGTTTGTAATTCCTCACAAATATGACATTCTGTCACCTTGGACTAAATAATACACTCACCTACTGACTGACTTGTGCTTATGATGGATTCTAGAGCCTTCTGTCTTGTAATTAAAAAAGGTTGAAGGAACTGGTACTGATAGAATGGCCTCAGGGACCACTTTCTTTCTTTCAATATTATTAAGAAGTCTTCCAAGATTTGATGTTATTCTGAATTAAACAGTCTCCTTTACTTAAGTGTTGTAGTATAATGTATAATTTATTTTTTAAATAATGTTATAGTTTTATTTAAATAAATTTTATAATTAAAAAATATGCACTACCATTCAAAAGTTTGGGGTCTGTAAGATGTTTTAAAATGTTTTAGAAAATAAATGTGTGAAATAGTATTACAATTTAAAATTTTTTCTATTTTAATATATTTTAATATTATATTGTATTTATAAACTCATTGACCATCTAACCTTGCAAGACCTTATTATATGACACTTGTAAAACACTGTCTGATATGTCTTGTCCCTTTTTTATTATCTAAACAGGATGCTGACAGGCAACATAGAGAAGTGGTTTCAATTTATCGAACTCATCTGCTCAGTGCAGCACAGGTAATTGTCTGTGAATGTGAGTTGAGTGTGTAGAAGGTTTTTTTTTTTTTTTGCAGTAGAAGTTCCTTCTATTTTGCTCTCATGTCAAGGTCATTTATTGAAACCTCTTAGGTGTGTTATAGTGTATGGTTTTCTATGTACCATAATAGTATACGGGTCATAGCCTGTAGTTGCATTGAAGTGTCTGGAAGCAATTCTAAAGATTAATTTATCCCAACTAAATACCGCTCACTTATTGTCTTTCAGGGTCACATGGATGAAGATGTCCAAGCTGCCTTATTGCAGATCATTCGAATGAGACATGGTTTTGTGTGTTGAACTCCGCACACTGAGACTACACTGACTCCAATTCATCATTCACACAGTAACCTCCCATTCAGCTCAGTGCAGTTTGATACTGCTCTGGAGTACTTCGGTCGGAAAGTCACATTTTGCAACATTTGATATGCCCTGATTAGGTTGAGTGATGTAAGCACTATCAATGTAGATCTGTAATATAGATTTGCTTAGTGTCAGTACTAAATATAGCACTAGGGATAGTTGAACCCATCTAAAAACATAAATCATAAACATGAGAGGCAATGGATAATGATTTGATCACAAATAAGCATATTGGCTTAACTTGGTACGCAATTGCTACATGCTATAGAGTCAATGGAAAGTGCAGAATGCTGTAAAGATGTAAACTGCACATTCAGCGATTGAGTCTCATGTACCCCTTATTTCATGTTGAAATATCCTAACTACAGTTTAAAGAAGAACATTCCCTCCACTCTTATAGTCTTGATCTGAGCTACATGTACAGTGTATTGAGAGATGCATCCCTTTAGAGATATTTTAACGTTCTGTTCTCAGTCCACCATTATTATAATCTCTGCAATGGTTACAGTAAGTTAGAGGTTAGAGGAAGCAGATCTTTCAGCACTAGGGAAACTAGCTTCCAGGCATTAGTGGAGTGGTGGGCACAGAGGCACATCCTGGGCCCGACTAAGTTTTATGAAATGCCAGTGGCATAGTTGTTGAATATCCTGCAGTACAGAAAGTAATAATATTACGTGTAAGTTAATGCACATACAGTATACAGTAAGAGCGTAAATGCACAGCACTGTTACCACAGTAAAAATCATTTGCGCACATTTGTTTTGAAGGGTCCCAGAATTGTTATGGTCCAAAGTCATGACAAAAGATCAGAGCACACCATTGCAGCTTCATCTTGCACTTATCTTGTGCACTTTTGCCCATATCCGTAAACTGGATCATTTGTTCCAAATGTGCGTGATGTATTCGAGTCAGTGGGTGTCTATTGGGTTGGGTGATTTAGGATGGAGTAGTTCTTTTACTGAAGTGTTTATGTAAAATTGCTTTGCTTCTGCAGTGACAGCAACAGACTATGTTTTATGAATGATTGTATGAGCAAAGCCTTTAACACTGAGGACTTTCATAACACTCTAGCCCTCATGGTCCTTTATCCTGGCTGATATCGCCATCTAGTGGTGTGACTTGGCTGGCCAAGTTTGATGTGTGGTTTTGTTTTAAGATAATGTGAGCATTTTGGAATTCTCCCTTTTGATGCTTCCCAAATCTGATATATCACCTTTTACATGGCTTTGTACTACTTTTGATTAATAAACACCATGTTTGTGGTAAATATTACAAAATTCAGCAGGACTGGAATGGAAAGGCACAATAATCGGTTCAGGTTTCCGAACATGATGGTAGACTTACATACTTTATATTGTGTGAATCTGTTTTTTTTTTTTTGATCCTCTGAGTTTCCAATCAAATATTCTAAAATTAATTGAGTTCCCAACCATGGCTTTCCAGTATCTATTTTAAAAACACCACCGTAGTGCCATTTGGTTTGATTGGTATTAACTGATGCTATTAGTTCTCTCTGCCGGGATGACTAATTGTAACGGTTTCATTATTTATTAGTATTACTTTCTAACTGTGCTCTTACGATTATCAGTTAGTCTGTGATTTTCCTTGGACATTTTCTCTCCCTTTTTTTTTGGTGAAATTTTGAGTCTAACATCAATAAAAGTGCCTCTTTTAGACTAAACTGGCTCTGTGCAAATGAAAAAGATTAATCCCAGCAGTCTCAGAGTGTCATGAAGTGAACCTTGCCTTTGGCAGGCCTTTCCAGCCCCTCTCACTCTCCTTGAAGTGAACGCACATGTTGTTACTTTAAATCCAATGAAATCTAGATTGAGGGCTCTTTTTTTTTCCTCATGTGGTTTGCATTGATTTGTACCTTAGTGTTTAACTTGCTTTTAAAACAAAATGAGATTTACAAATACAAAGAAAAGACAGTATTTTTCTTCCCATAAAGGTCATAGTTTTTATTCGTATTACTATTTTAAGGGATGAGTAAAAACTGTAATCCTTAAACAAAATCAATGTTGTTTTTCTATCTTAGTTTCTACAATATGCTTCAGTAAGTCACGGGTCTTTTTGTCATCTCATCTGTCATTTTATTATGTAGCCTTAGTCACTTTTCAACCACTACATTTCCAGTAAAGATGCTAAAGGTGATTTTTCCAAAGCTCTAAACTCATCCCACACCTAATTAATTTAACATTTTTGTATATATGACTGCTTAAATGACAGCACTCAGTTATCCTCTGAATCCCTCTCTCCCCCCATTCTCTTGCAGTCTTGTTTTTATGAGTCTGTTATTTGTGGCCTGCCCTGCATAAGCTGTTCTCAGCAATTATGGCAAAGACAATTCAATCTGTTTGGAGCTTTCCCTTTAATCTCATTTCCAGGACCATAAGCAGAACCAGACATCCTCCCACCACTCCCCTCTCTTTGCCTTTTTCTCTACCATTAATCATGCCCATAAGGATCACAGTGTAACCCTGTCGTTTAGCTGGCCCCCTGGTAGGTGGGCAGACTTGGAGGGGGGGTGGATCAACCCTGTTCATGTTGCTTTAAAATGTGGTTAGTTACTCAGTCGGTAGTCTTTGTGTCGTGATTCACGCTCACTTTGACCACAGAGCCCTTCACGTGTCACGCAGATAATTTGCTCCCTTTTTATCTTTGTCTGGTTTGATTTTGTGTGCATTTGAAGTTTTCTTGCCTTCCTTTTTAATAGTTTAATAACAAATGCAGATGTGCAAAACATCCCGTTCTCATCTGTTTCACCCTCTTATCATCGGGTCTCCCATACATTGTGCTGGCTGGGCTTTTAGTGTTAGTACCTTTTAAAAGAATGTCACGGAAAACCACATCTTTTCTCATTAGCCACCCTGGATCGGTCACCTCTGCTCACCCCTTCAGTGTTTTTGCAGAGGTCCCTGCACGTTGTTGCCTCAATAAAGTTCATTTATAGGATAACAGGGCTCTGGAGGACACATGGGGCTGATTTGGACTAGATGGATTCAACATGTCTCCTGCCCAGCTCCTTTCTGATCCTTGCCTTGTGATCCATGCCTCCCTGACCTCATCATCCATCATATAACACCTGGGATGAGGGGAAAATGGTTGAAAAAAATAAAAGAGACTCTTTTATTTTGTAGGATTTATTGGCTGGCCACAGGAGAGTCCTGCTACCACCGCTGGGCCGCAGCTCCATCCGTTCATGGATGGGCTTTTATGCACAAGGAAAGACCATAGCGGTGTGTTCTGTACTTTGGGTGTTTTACCTCCATAAAAGTGTTTGAGTAAAAAAAAAAAAAATAGTTGTTTGAGTGATTCGGCACATGGGCGGAGGGTTGATTAGATCACACAGGTACAAAAATTTGATACTGTTGGGCATGTTTCAAACAGACTTCTAAACCGCGTGGTGATTGTGCAGGAGGGGATGTTGTACTCCAAAGCTGAAATTTTTAAACTGCACATTTAAACGGTTACATCTGAGCTCATTGTTGTTCTTTTTCCCTCATTAGCTCTTGGTTAACCACTAATGCCTTGTGAATCAACTCATTTTTACTTTCTCCCCCTTTTTCCGGTCAGGGCTCAACAAGAAACATGTGGTTGTCCTCTCTTCCAAGCTCAAGCTCTTAATAATCCCCAGGCTTCGATGGAAAATCGACTGCATTTCACATGTCTGCTAAGAGCTGACACATGGGGTTGTTTCAGTGGTTTAACAGAATAAGCCTGTGGAATTGATGGCTGGCTGCTTGGAAATAGTGCTGCAACTAATGTCCTTTCTTAATTGTATAACTAGTTTGGTTTTGTCTGCTTTTCTTGCTCTGCGGTGCAGGATTGTGGTTCTTTAAAGGCTTGTTAAGAGGTAAATTGAGGGGAAAGGTGAGGAGAGCATTGTGTTTTCCATCTTTGTTATGCCATCATTTTTGTTAAGGGCCTCAACTGGTTGACGGTCTGACGTCATTGGAGAAAACACTGGTTTGCTTGATTCAGGTGGACCTTAGTTTGTAAGTCTTTGTACCAGGGATGCACTGATACTAATAAGCTGATAATTATTCAGATGTTATGGCTGATAACCAATAAATGGCAGATAATAAAATGTTAAATATAATGTTTAATTTGATAAAATAGTAATAAACACAAACAAACAAAACTAAATTCAGTGAATCACAACATTATCATGTATAGGATAAAAATTAATATTCATTTTGAGATTGGCTAAGGATGACATTTTACATAGATTTTACAACAATAGACTGGGCAATAACTTTCTCAAAGGAAAACGTGTAGCTTATTTACTTCTAAAGGATGCATATTTTTGAGAGTATAAATATGAAAAATAGCGTAAATGAGGATGCACAATTAAATATGTAATATCTAAGGTGTTTTCTTATTATTACCTGAACATTTTTTTTGTGGAAACCATGACGATTTTTCTTTTCAGGATTCTTTGATGAACAAAGATCAAAAGAACAGAATTAATTCAAAATAGAAATCTGTGTAATGTCTTTACTGTCACTTTTGATATGTGTCCTAACTGAATAAAAACATGAATTTTAAAAAAACTCTCACTGACTCCAAACTTTGGAACGGTATACCTAACACAGACAGAATATCTATTGATACATTTAAAAAATATCTAATATCGTGTGATAACCAATATGGTCCTGATATAGTGTACACCGTATATATATATACTGCTATATTGCTTATGGCAACCTTACTGTCAGTTACTGTTCCACTGTAATTGGTCATTTTTTTGTGACTTTTATTGCACAATCATGTCATTGAACTAATTTACCAAGATGCTTTCTTGTTGATCATCTAGTGATTTGCTTCAGCTTGTCTTTTCATTTTGCACCCAGCTCTCAGTGTTTACTTAATTTCATACCTCTGGCAGGAGGCCAGCAGCAGGGTGAAGGTGTGGCTTTAGAGGTGTTTGAAATGTTTCATGTTCCTGAAGAGTTTCCTCCTAGCAGAACATAAGGTATTAGTTTATTCATTGCTCATTAGGCTCACAGTCAAAGTGCTTTAGGCAAATTCAGGGTTGTGACTATCGTTGAAAATGTGCATTTGTTGGACAAAGCCGCAGTCACACAATCCAATTAATACATGAAAGCCCCCGTCTCCTAGGAAGGAATTCACAATACATAAACATGCTGTAAAGTGGAAATTTACATCTGCATTTGTTTCTTTCCTTGAAATTTAGCCATTGGTACTGGTTTGGTTAACAAACCCTTGTTGAACACTTTGGAAGAAAAAAGGAAAGCTAAATGAATACCATGTGTTTTGAGAGCTACACAGGGGTTTATTGTAGTGTTGAGTTAAAGGCACAATCTCGCCTACATCTTTGTAAAGTGAGAGTTTGGTAGATTTTAACAAGTAGGAACGTTCTAATCACTTTGAATAATGTGATTTTTAACAAATTTAAATTTACCTTTAAATGTCAGACTTAAAAAAAAAAACACTTATGCTTTTATATACCAGAAGCTGAACAGACATTAATTCCCTAAAATGTCTTTAACCAAGGCCAGGCTCTTTTGATGTTGCCATGAGTGTGTAAGTATAACATGCCTTTAGCTTGCTGTCCCGGATGTTAATTAAATAGCTTTTTTCCTCTTCTTGTAAGGCAAGGTATTGGATTAATGGCTTTAAATGTCCTTTAAATCTCTCTAATCTTCCCCCTTTCATCTGTAGCTTTTGCAGGTTTGTGTTGCTGTGATTTGCCTGCATCGTCTGCCTTTGATTGCACCTTAATGATCGCAGCTCGCCCTGGATCGTAATGCAGATCCCCCTGAATAACTCTTTCCGGATGCTTGCGGGTGTTAGATGGTAGGATCCTGTGGGGAACAGTGGCTGCTGCGTCCAGTCTTTCATGCCTCTGGCTTTCACAGAGCCAGTTTCTACCTTTCACACCTGCTTTCTAAAACAAAAGGACATTTTTATGAGTCATCTGCACAACAAACGACTGAATCTTGAGTGTCGCGGCCCACAGAGAGAGTCAGGAGTCTGACAAATCATGTACGGTGTATTGGATGAGTGCACTGCGCAGGAATGGTCCGATCAGATGTGCTGATGAACAATTAAGATCATGACATCACAAATTCAAGTTATTTCTCCACTGTCCGAAAAAATGTGTAAGATGTGTACCTTTAGGGATGTAACAGCTTATCACTGTAAAAGTATCCTTAAAGGGACACCATTATACCTGATCTACTCCTAAAAGGTCCTACTCCTATTAGGACCTTTGAGTAGTAACATGTTCCCTTAAGGTACTATTATTTTACACAGTACAAAGATGCCTATAGGTACAATCTGAGTGTGATGTCTTCACATTGATGTTTCTGCAGGGCCTTCAAAAACTAATAGCCATTTGTTTATGTAGAAATTGTATATATTCTCTTACATGCTTAGTGGTCTAGTTCTGTTCCAGTAATTTGCTTGGGGGGGGAAAAAAAATAAATAAATTTTTTGAATGAAGATATTGTGCCTAATGGACTCCATCATGTTAAGTGAGTTTAACAGCGCAGGCTCCATTGTGCCCGCGCTCTAATTCTGTCATTTGCCCTTAATTACTATGCCAGCAGAGTCCATTAAATATTCTCCAGCTAATGCCTCATTAACTTCTGCAGGCTAAATGGTCAAGAGATGCACATTTTATTGGTAGTAAGCACTGTCCTCTCTGAATCACTGCCTGAGGTCGTAACAATGAATCTGGGCTCAGAATGTTTCCTTCACAGTTATCATAACTGATTTTTAAGACTCTCCTTTGAGGAGTTACTGCCTTTATAGTCATAGACTATACAGAAGTGTGGTGTAGCTCCACTCCCACCCTCCAGAGGGCAGACCTACATTATGTTTTAAGACTTTGGCATCGATTCATGATAGAGCAGACTAATAACATATGCTCTTAGAAGCCAGGAAGTGACACATATTCATTGTGTGCTAGTGAACATTGCTGTATCACATGTCAGTCTCTCTCTTTATAACTTACCCCCCTTTTTGACTTCTTCATACTAATGATTTTCAGTTAAAGACTAACAAA